TATTAAGGGCAGTTACTGGGACAAGGCAGATTCATACACATTTTCTTTGGAGCTGGACCAGAAAAAACGTAATGCTTACCCTCCATCCAACCCTACCCTTCAATAGCACATAAACATGCAATGTTTATATGCTATCATTTATATGCTATATTTATGCATGTTTATATGCTATGCTTTCTTGTAAAGAAAATGCCTGGAACGAGTGCTGCTGTTAGTGAATTTAACCCTTTCAGGGTCCGTCCCTTAGATCTACGGCTTTACGTTCAGGGTCCAAACCGTAGATCTACACCATGAGCTCAGCTCACTCTGATAAGCTGTGAGTGGTAAATTTGGGCCTAGATATGAGAGAATACATCTATGTGGTATGTGTGCGCCACAAAAAACAAATCCTGCAGCACACAGTGTATAATGAGAGGAAAAAAACGAGACCGTGATTTTTGATTAAAACTGTGACTTTGCAGTGTTTCTTCGTATGTTTTTTATAATTGTATTTGAGATTTCTTGGTCTCATTTGATAGAATGGAAGATATATTACAAAAATAAGATGATTTTGATTGGTTTGAGTACTGGAAATGACTTGAAACTGAGCTCAAAGTAGCAGAAATGTTAATTTTTTGTCGATGTTCAAGAGTAAACAAACGACCTCACACGTCTAATACACGCCAGCTGGTGGGTCTAATATACATTCACAAATGTGATGATGATATTTATACAATTATTACAATATTGCATAACAGTAAATGTTTTATTTTTTGGTTTGAATAAAAATTCATTATGTGAATAAAAAATCAAAATGGAATTCATTTGTAAAGCCTGAAAACATAACTAATGAGCAGAGGAAATGTTAGTTTAGTGCCAGGAATGCCTGCATTGTTTATTCTGGACCCTATTTTGAAACTGGAATATTTTGAAGTTTGTGTTAAATTGGCCAAATTACCAATTAGAATTTGGCTGACTGGAATAATGTAATTGATCTAAAATCGGAGTCAAAGTCGGCAAAATAGCCGATTCGTAAATATCGCTGACACATCAAAATTTGCGAGAGCATAATTTCGCCAATTTTCCATCAAATTTTGTACTTTTTGTTTTATTACCTTCAGAAAAAGATTCTCTACCATTTCATAAGAAAAAAATAAATTTTTTTTTTAAAAATTCTTGGACACTGGTGCAGCACCCTTTGAAATTTGGCCTCTGGACCCTGAAAGGGTTAAGGCCAGCAGAGGCTGGTTCAACAACTTCAAGAAGTAACCCCAGATAGGGTTTTGATATCTAAAGTCCTTATGGTGGAGGATTCCCCTTCCAACAAGAGTCTTCAATAAAGGTATGTAAATGTAATTTTAAATGTTTATTTATCTATTTCATTAGTCATTTAAGTACTATATGTATTTGTACATTCACCTCCTCCATACTCTCTCCCTCCAATCTGATATCCAATCTTTCATCACCTAATCTTTTTGTTATCCTCATAACCTTACTCTTTCCTGTATTCACTTTTAATTTTCTTCTTTTGCACACCCTACCAAATTCATCCACCAATCTCTGCAACTTCTCTTCAGAATCTCCCAAGAGCACAGTGTCATCAGCAAAGAGCAGCTGTGACAACTCCCACTTTGTGTGTGATTCTTTATCTTTTAACTCCACGCCTCTTGCCAAGACCCTCGCATTTACTTCTCTTACAACCCCTTCTATAAATATATTAAACAACCATGGTGACATCACACATCCTTGTCTAAGGCCTACTTTTACTGGGAAATAATTTCCCTCTTTCCTACATACTTTAACTTGAGCCTCACTATCCTCGTAAAAACTCTTCACTGCTTTCAGTAACCTACCTCCCACACCATACACTTGCAACATCTGCCACATTGCCCCCTTATCCACCCTGTCATATGCCTTTTCCAAATCCATAAATGCCACAAAGACCTCTTTAGCCTTATCTAAATACTGTTCACTTATATGTTTCACTGTAAACACCTGGTCCACACACCCCCTACCTTTCCTAAAGCCTCCTTGTTCATCTGCTATCCTATTCTCCGTCTTACTCTTAATTCTTTCAATAATAACTCTACCATACACTTTACCAGGTATACTCAACAGACTTATCCCCCTATAATTTTTGCACTCTCTTTTGTCCCCTTTGCCTTTATACAAAGGAACTATGCATGCTCTCTGCCAATCCCTAGGTACCTTACCCTCTTCCATACATTTATTAAATAATTGCACCAACCACTCCAAAACTATATCCCCACCTGCTTTTAACCCTTTGACTGCCGCGGCCGTATATATACGTCTTACGAGGTACCGTGTTTGACGTATATATACTCATAAATTCTAGCGGCTTCAAATCAAGCAGGAGAAAGCTGGTAGGCCCACATGTGAGAGAATGGGTATGTGTAGTCAGTGTGCACCATATAAAAAAAATCCTGGAGCACGCAGTGCATAATGAGAAAAAAAACTCCGACCGTTTTTTTTAATTAAAATGCCGACTTTGTGGTCTATTTTCGTATAGCATTTATGGTTGTATTCTCGTTTTCTTGGTCTCATTTGATAGAATGGAAAATATATTATAGAAATAGAGGTAATTTTGATTGATTTTACTATAAAAAGAACCTAGAAATGGAGCTCAAAGTAGGGGAAATGTTTGATTTTTGCCAATGTTCAAAAGTAAACAAATGATGCCATTGCCCAATAAATGTCCAACTAGCCATTCTGATATGCAGTCATGAATGGGTTGATGTTATTTATACAATTATTACAGTATTGCAGTAGTCTGCATAATAGTAAGTCTTCTATTTTTTGTTTGAATAAAAATTCAAAATAGAAAGCAAGAGTAATATCAGAGGGGCCTGGAGACATGACTGATGAGCAAAGAAAATGTTATTTTAGAGCCAGGAATGTCTGCATTGTTCATTCTGGACCTTATTTTGAAATTGTCATATTTTTTATTTTTCGTGAAATTGGCCAAATTGCAAAATCTGACCACATTATTAGGTAGTTGAAATCGGTAAATGGGCAGTTTCTTGTACTCAATCGATAGAAAAAATGTAGTTCTAAAGAAATAGCTATGAGTTTGGGCAACTGGAACAATGGAATTAGCCGAAACTAGGGCTCAAAGTGGGCGAAATCGCCAATTTGTAAACAGCGCCGAGGTCGCTAACTTCGCGAGAGCATAATTCCGTCAGTTTTCCATCAAATTTTGTTTTTTTGGTGTCATTACAATCGGGAAAATATTCTCTACAATTTCATAAGAAAAAAATTATTTTTTTTTTTTTAAGTTTTGCGACACCAGGAGACGCCTCAGGATTGGGGGTTGCGACAGTCAAAGGGTTAACATTTCTATCTTTATCCCATCAATCCTGGCTGCCTTATCCCCTTTCATTTTACCTACTGCCTCATGAACTTCCCCCACACTCACAACTGGCTGTTCCTCACTCCTACAAGATGTCATTCCTCCTTGCCCTATACACGAAATCACAGCTTCCCTATCTTCATCAACATTTAACAATTCCTCAAAATATTCCCTCCATCTTCCCAATACCTCTAACTCTCCATTTAATAACTCTCCTCTTCCAGAGTATGGAGGAGGTGAATGTATTCAGATATTTGGGAGTGGACATGTCAGCTGATGGGTCTATGAAAGATGAGGTGAATCATAGAATTGATGAGGGGAAAAGGGTGAGTGGTGCACTCAGGAGTCTGTGGAGACAAAGAACTTTGTCCTTGGAGGCAAAGAGGGGAATGTATGAGAGTATAGTTTTACCAACGCTCTTATATGGGTGTGAAGCATGGGTGATGAATGTTGCAGCGAGGAGAAGGCTGGAGGCAGTGGAGATGTCATGTCTGAAGGCAATGTGTGGTGTGAATATAATGCAGAGAATTCGTAGTTTGGAAGTTAGGAGGAGGTGCGGGGGTACCAAAACTGTTGTCCAGAGGGCTGAGGAAGGGTTGTTGAGGTGGTTCGGACATGTAGAGAGAATGGAGCGAAACAGAGTGACTTCAAGAGTGTATCAGTCTGTAGTGGAAGGAAGGCGGGGTAGGGGTCGGCCTAGGAAAGGTTGGAGGGAGGGGGTAAAGGAGGTTTTGTGTGCGAGAGGCTTGGACTTCCAGCAGGCATGCGTGAGCGTGTTTGATAGGAGTGAATGGAGACAAATGGTTTTTAATACCTGACGTGCTGTTGGAGTGTGAGCAAAGTAACATTTATGAAGGGGTTCAGGGAAACCGGCAGGCCGGACTTGAGTCCTGGAGATGGGAAGTACAGTGCCTGCACTCTGAAGGAGGGGTGTTAATGTTGCAGTTTAAAAACTGTAGTGTAAAGCACCCTTCTGGCAAGACAGTGATGGAGTGAATGATGGTGAAAGTTTTTCTTATTCGGGCCACCCTGCCTTGGTGGGAATCGGCCAGTGTGATAATAATAAATAATAATGTATTTATAACTGTTTTGTCTTTGTAAATCTATAGTATTTCTTTAAAAAATTTTTTTTTTTTTTTTTTTAAATATTTTTAGGTGTCTGGAACAGATTAATTGGATTTATATTATTTCTTATGGGTAATATTGCTTTGTAGATGAATGGTTCAAAGAACCGACACGTTGTTAAATTAGACACATGTGCAACAAGAGTTGCACATGTGTCTAATTTAACAATATTGCTTTGACTTTCAAACAATTTGAGTTTCAGCTGAGCTTCTGGAACGGATTACAGCTGAAACTCCAAACAGTAATATCCCCGCCCTTCCTTCAGAATGAAAGCACAGTACTTTCCACCTCCAGTACACAAGTCCAGCTAGCCAGTTTCCCTGAATCCCTTCACAAATAACCCTAGTACATCTTGCACAACTCAGCCTCAATACAGTAGGCTAACCAAAAATTAAAAATTTTGAATATACGTATACTGACAATGAATGGTAAAAGTATTGGTTGCATAATGAGAAATAGGAGTAAACATAATAGCAACCTCTATACAATTAAGATTCTTAAAAACTTCATTCATATGTTTACTTACCATGTCACCATATTTGTTCATGCCAAGCTTGTATGACTTCTGCCCTGTAGCATACAACTTATTGTGTGCTGCAATCGCATGCTTATTTTCAGTATAGATTTTCATACGGAAAGATTCTTCCACATCTGTCTCATATTTCTTGCCATGCTCAAGCTGTGAATGCAGAAGTTAACAATTAAAGGGAAACTGTATTTGTATTGCAACATTTCGATGATTAATATATACACACCATTTTCTTTTTTTTTTTTGGCTTTTACACTTTTATCAATAAAGCATTTTTGAGAAATAAGATTCCACATGTCAGAAAAATTAGTCATTATCATGCACGGAGAACACAGTGGCCTAGACGTAAGGTACAATCATTACTTGGCCAAAAGTCAAAATTCTTCCCAACCAGCAGTTGCACTATTTTAACTGGACTGGTGACGGCTGAAACTCTTGCCTAAATTAAATTTAACCCTTAAACTGTCCAAACATAGATCTACGTTTACGCGCGTAGTGCTCCAACCTTGATTTTCCCCATTTGAAAGCATGTAAAAAAAAAAAACCACAGATCTACGTTCGGAGCGCTAAGCGAACGAACGAAGATCTACGTTTGGACAGTTTAAGGGTTAAACATTTGATCCTCCTGCAAAACTGATTTAGGCAGTCTCTTCACAAAGCCAGTGAATAGTACAACTTGTATATGGAAAAACTACCCACAGCCTAGTAGTAACAGTTCAATCACCAGATACAAACTCACTACTGTACTAGCACAAAAAAAGCCTTCAATGCTTGATTTTAAATGTTTAAATCTAAAAAGTCACAAATACGTACAATAAAAATGCCCAATAATTCAAATTTATTAAGTTTTTCAGTTTTGTTCTCTGAAAACAGCTAGCTCATGAATTTTAGCCAAAATCGACAGCAAAGCCATTAAGGGACCGATGAACATAATTTTTTTTTTTTTTGGGGGGGGGGGGGGGGTCCAATTTCAATGAAATTTTTACTGCGAATTAAGCAGCATTTGAAACCTAGACACTGTTTTAGTGACTTTTTTTCCTTAAGAACATAAGAACATAAGAACGAAGGAACACTGCAGAAGGCCTACTGGCCCATGCGAGGCAGGTCCAAGTCTCCTACCGGCTTAAGCCAATGCACCCAACCCAGTCAGGTCAGGTCACACTGACTTAAGGGAGGAACACGGCAACCGACCCGGTAGCACAAGCTATCAGGTCCAACTCACACCCACCCACATCCACTCATGTATTTATCCAACCTATTTTTAAAGCTACACAACGTTCTGGCCTCTATAACGGTACTTGGGAGTTTGTTCCACTCATCCACAACTCTATTACCAAACCAGTACTTTCCTATATCCTTCCTGAATCTGAATTTTTCCAACTTAAAACCATTGCTGCGAGTCCTGTCTAGGCTAGATATTTTCAGCACACTATTTACATCCCTTTATTTATTCCTGTCTTCCATTTATACACCTCAATCATATCCCCCTAATTCTACGTCTTCTAGAGAGTGCAGATTCAGGGCCTTAGTCTATCCTCATAGGGAAGGTTTCTGATACATGGGATCAACTTTGTCATCCTCCTTTGTACATTTTCCAGAGAATTTTATATCCATTCTGTAATAAGGTGACCAAAACTGTGCAGCATAATCTAAATGAGGCCTAACCAAGGATGTATAGTGTTGAAGAACAACCTGAGGACTCTATTATTTTGCTTCTTGATATGAAGCCAAGGATTCTATTAGCTTTATTGCGAACACTTATGCACTGTTGTCTTGGTTTCAGATTACTGCTAACCAGAACTCCTAAATCTTTTTCGCAATCCGTAATATTAAGATCTACATTATTTAGTTTATATGTGGCATGGTTATTGTCCTGTCCAACATTTAGAACTTTGCATTTGTCTATATTAAACTGCATCTGCCACTTCTCCGACCACTGCATCAGTCTATTCAAATCTTCCTGGAGTGCTCGAATGTCCTCGTCAGAATGAATTCGACGGCCTATTTTGGTGTCATCGGCAAACTTGCCGATGTCGCTCTTTATGCCCTCATCTATGTCGTTTATGTAGATTGTGAACAGCAGGGGGCCCAACACTGACCCCTGTGGAACACCGCTCGTGACACTTCCCCACTCTGATTTCTCCCCATTTATGCAAACTCTCTGCTGCCTATTTGTCAACCATGCCTCTATCCAGGAAAAAATTTCTCCTCCTATTCCATGTGCTTTAATTTTCCTCAATAGTCTCTGATGTGGGACCCTGTCAAAAGCCTTACAGTTAGATAGAAAAAAATAAATAGCACCCTATTCTATAGGGCTTAATTGTTAAGATGTACAATGTTTTAGTCGACATCAGATGAAAGATAACAAGTTAGGTAATCTTATTACACAGGTGTTTGAGCAAAATGTCAATATATTGCATTATACAAAATGTTGAAATATGTCTTTTTTTTTTTTGTAACCCTTTGACTGTTTTGGTCGTATATATACGTCTTACGGGACGTATATATGCTCAATAATTCTAGCAGTTTCAAATCAAGCAGGAGAAAGCTGGTAGGCCCACATGTGAGAGAATGGGTCTGTGTGGTCAGTGTACACCACATAAAAAAAATCCTGCAGCCTGCAGTGCATAGTGAGAAAAAAAACTGACCGTTTTTTTGGATTAAAACACCAACTTTGAGGTGTATTTTCGTAGAGTATTTATTGTTATATTCTCGTTTTCATAGTCTCACGTTATAAAATGGAAAACATATTGCATAAATAGAGATGATTTTGATTAGTTTCACAATGAAAACGACCTTGAAATTGAGCTCAAAGTAGCGGAAATGTTCGATTTTTACCAATGTTCAAGAGTAAACAAATCACACCACACGTCCAATACACATCAACTGGGGAGTCTAATATTCTTTCACTAGTGCACTGATATTATTTATACCATTTTTACAATAATGCAGTAGTCTGCATAACAGTAAATTTTGTATTTTTTGTATGAATAAAAAATTAAATAGAAAGCAATAGTAATATAAGAGGGGCCTAGAGACGTGACTAATGAACAGAGGATATGTTATTTTAGTGCCAAGAATGTCTACACTGTTTATTCTGGATCCTATTTTGAAATTGGCATCTTTTTTAATTTGCATGAAATTGGCCAAATTCCCAATTTCTGACCACTTTATTGGGTATTTCAAATCGGTAAATGGGCGGTTTCTTGTGCTCAAGTGATAGAAAAAATGGAGTTCTAAAGAAATAGCTATGAGTTTGGTCACCTGGAACAACGGAATTGACCAAAAACAGGGCTCAAAGTCGGCGAAATCGCCAATGTGTGTATGTCGCTGAGACCACTAACTTTGCGGGAGTGTAATTCTGTGAGTTTTCGACCAAATTTCGTACTTTCGGTGTCATTACCATCGGGAAAAGATTCTCTATCATTTCATAAGAAAAAATAATTTTTTTTTCTCAAAAATTTTTCAACATAGAATGACAGTTTCAGAAAAGGGGCTTGCGACAGTCTAAGGGTTAAGGGCTGTTTTGGAAGAAAAAAATTCAACAAAAACAAAACGGTAAAACATATCACAAACCATCTGTGTAATTCACTAGAACCATCATTCCTTGATAACGTGTAAAAAAGTCATGATGCTCCATAAATACTTTGCATGAGAGGGAAAATAATGTCAATAATTTATTCCTGAGTTATACATAATTATGTTGTATGTAAAATTCTACAGTCATGGCATGCCAAATCTGAGCATGTTGCACACCCACATCCTTGCTGACAGCCCTCAGGCTACTGAGCCACAATCACTCCAAGCTCCTCACTTTAGTCCTCACAGAAGTTGCAAAAAAAAAAAAAAATAAAAAAATAAAAAAAAAAAAAAAACCACTAACTACCAACATGTCCTCTTGATGACAGCAAGAACAAAAAGAATTACATTTTTGAAAAACAAAAAAAAATACTTAGAAATATGATTGAAACAAGCTGATTGCATAAACATGTTGCCAGAAATATGCACTATTTTTTGGCAAGAAAACATTTTTTTTTTCCATAATTTTTCAATTTAAATTTTTTTATCACTCCAAAAACGTTCGTCGGTCCCTTAAAATTTAAGAACACCAAACTATTAATGGCAGATTTAAATGATTAACCTGAGAGGGATAGCAACCAATGCTATAAAATAAAGCAATTTAGCTCGTTTAAATACCACTGAGATCCACTGTTCATTTTAGCAACAACCAGCTAACATATAGCTACCTATTTATTATATATGAAGGGCAACAAGTGAAAGGAAACATACCTAATGTTTCCACTCACCCTAGGATTGAGCCTGGGTCCTTTTGTTGTCAGACAAAGGCACTACTGCTGCATGCCAGCTGTAGAGCAGCATATTATGGGAAAATAAAAGATATTAAAAGAACTCTTTATCATTTGAGCAATTCCATCCTATCAAACCAACTCATTAAAAGCTCCCAACAGGATTATTAATTCCCAAAGGATTACAAAGGTGAACTAATAACCAATTCTATCAACATTTCCCTCCTTTATAGCTTGCTGTTAAGTAAACTTAAGAAAAATTCTGAGATCACTTCCCAATTTTTGATATGCTATTAATTAGCACAAACATAACCCTTACCTTAAAGGCTTCCCACTCTTCCAAGACAACAGAGAAGAAAGACACTGCAGATGCTGAAGCCAGAATGGCCACTAACACTGATGCTGCCAAGACCCTCATCTGTTGGAAAACAACTTGTCAGTACAAAATAGAAAACAGCTTACAACTTGTCTTGTTTAATATCCACAGAGAATAATTTTATTAGGACAATAATTTGAAAGCAGAAATGCAAGATTTCTAAATTCTTCATTACAATATGTCTGCACATTACAAGTGGGTGCATATCATCTGAGTAAGTCCTGTGACTTGGCTGGCAATGAACTCGTCCTGCAGTGTGTAGGTTCAATTCCCGGCATGGGTGGAAACAGTGGGAATGCTTAACACCTGCTGTCCCTGTTAACCTAGCAGTAAGTAGTATGGTACCTTGGTATTAGACAACTGGTGAGTCACATCCTGGAGGACAAGACTGAGAACCCCAGGGGAAATAAGACAGACACTCCCCAGTGACTCGCTGATTTTCTTGGGTCATCTTGGGTGGCTGACCTTCCAACCCATAAATCTCATCTTTTCAAGTCTAAGCCAAAATTTACCACTCCCAGCTTATTTGTGGGAGCTATGAGTGACAATGGAGTAAATGACAGTTCGTGGGAAATAGCGAACATCTGGTTTACCTTTCATGAGTTCCGAGTCTTTCTACTCCCAGAGCCCAGCCATGGGCCAGGCTGGTCTGGTGCTAGCCTGATCAACCAGGCTGTTGCCAGGTTAAACATCCTGTCAAATTTACTCAGTCCTATATTAGGGCTATGCTTAACCCTTTGAGGATTTCGGACACACTAGTACGGCTTACGACCCAGGGTTTTTGACGTACTAGTACGCCTAAATTCTAGCGCCCTCAAATCTAGTGGGAGAAAGCTGGTAGGCCTACATATGAAAGAATGGGTCTATGTGGTCAGTGTGCATGGTATAAAAAAAAATCCTGCAGCACACAGTGCATAATGAGAAAAAAAAATTTGGACCGTTTTTTTTGGAATAAAACAGCGACTTTGCACTGTATCTTCGTATGGTATTTATTGTTGTATTCTAGTTTTCTTGGTCTCGTTTTATAGAATGGAAGGCATATCATAGAAATTGAGATGATTTTGACTGGTTTTACAATGAAAAGTACCTTGAAATTGAGCTCAAAGTAGCAGAAATGTTCGATTTTTACCAAAGTTCAAATGTAAACAAATCATGCCAAGCGTCCAATACACGTCAACTGGCGAGTCTAATATTCTTTTGCAAGTGCGCCAATATGATTCATACCATTTTTTACACTAATGCAGTAGTCTGCATAACAGTAAATCTTCTATTTTTTGTGAGAATAAAAATTCAAAGTGGAAAGCAAAACAATGTAAGAGAGGCCTTGAGACGTGACTAATGAACAGAGGAAATGTCATTTTAGTGCCAGGAATGTATTTCTTGTTTGTTCTGGACCCTATTCGGAAATTGGCATCTTTTGAAATTTGTGTGAAATTGGCAAAATTGCTAAATTCTGACCACTGTACTGGATAGTTGAAATTGGTAAATGGGTGGTTTCTTACACTCATTCAATAGAAAAAATGGAGTTCTAGCGAAATATTCATGTTTTTGTCGACTAGTACAGTGGAACTGGCCGAAAATGGGGCTCAAAGTGGGCAAAATCGCCGAGACCACTAACTTCGCGAGAGCATAATTCTGTAAGTTTTCCATCAAATTTCATATTTTTGGTGTCATTATGATCGGGAAAAGATTCCCTATCGTTTTGTAAGAAAAAATTATTTTTTTTTTTAAATTTCCTGACCCTGATAACGAGTCTCGGAGAGGGCCTGTCGACCCTCAAAGGGTTAAAAATCAATACAACTTCTAATCAGTATGAAGCAACATAAATGCTTTAGAGTGATATTAATAATTCTAAAGAATACTTTTGGAGTGAGATTAATAAGTTGAGAAAGCCTAGGGAATGAAAAATGGAACTGATAGTTAACCCTTTGAGGGTTTCGGCCGTACTAGTACGGCTTATGACCCAGGGTTTTTGACGTACTAGTACGCCTAAATTCTAGTGCCCTCAAATCTAGTGGGAGAAAGCTGGTAGGCCTACATATGAAAGAATGGGTCTATGTAGTCAGTGTGCACAGTATAAAAAAAAATCCTGCAGCACACAGTGCATAATGAGAAAAAAAAACTTCGACCGTTTTTTTGGAATAAAACAGCGACTTTGCACTGTATTTTCGTATGGTATTTATTGTTGTATTCTAGTTTTCTTGGTCTCATTTTATAGAATGGAAGACATATTACAGAAATTGAGATGATTTTGACTGGTTTTACAATGAAAAGTACCTTGAAATTGAGCTCAAAGTAGCAGAAATGTTCGATTTTTACCAAAGTTCAAAAGTAAACAAATCATGCCAAGGTTCCAATGCACGTCAACTAGTGAGTCTAATATTCTTTCGCAAGTGTGCCATTATTATTTATACCATTTTTTTACACTAATGCAGTAGTATGCATAACAGTAAATCTACTATTTTTTGTGAGAATAAAAATTCAAAATGGAAAGCAAAAGAATATAAGAGGGGCCTTGAGACGTGACTAATGAACAGAGGAAATGTCATTTTAGTGCCAGGAATGTATTTGTTTGTTCTGGACCCTATTCGGAAATTGGCATCTTTTGAAATTTGTGTGAAATTGGCAAAATTGCTAAATTCTGACCACTGTACTGGATAGTTGAAATTGATAAATGGGTGGTTTCTTGCACTCATTCGATAGAAAAAAATGGAGTTCTAGCGAAATATTCATGTTTTTTGTCGACTAGTACAGTGGAATTGGCCGAAAATGGGGCTCAAAGTGGGCAAAATCGCCGATGCGTAAACATCGCTGAGACCGCTAACTTCGCGAGAGCATAATTCTGTAAGTTTTCCATCAAATTTCAAACTTCTGCTGTCATTATGATCGGGAAAAGATTCTCTATCTTTTCATACGAGAATTTTTTTTTTTTTTTTTAAATTTGGCCGACCCTGAGAATGAGTCTCGGAGAGGGCCTGTCGACCCTCAAAGGGTTAAAAATAAGAGAAGAGAGTTTTTAAAATGGGGAGTTTAGAGGTGTCAGGAAGATGCAGGGAATATTTTGAGGAATTGTTAAATGTTGAAGATAGGGAAGTTGTAATTTTGTGTACAGGACAAAGAGGAATAACACCTTGTAGGAGTGAGGAAGAGCCAGTTGTTTGTGTGGGGGAAATGTGGGCAGCAGTGAGTAGAATGAAATGGGGTAAAGCACCTGGGATTGAAGGGATAAAGACAAATGTTAAAAGCAGGTGAGGATAGTTTTGGAGTGGTTAATGCATGTATTTAATAAATGTATGGAAAAGGGTAAGGTACCTAGGGATTGACAGAGAGCATGCATACTTCCTCTATATACTGCAAGCAGTGAAGAGCTTTTACAAGGATAGTGAGGGTCAGGTTAGAGTATGTAAGAAAGGGAGATTATTTCCCAGTAAAAGTAGGCCTTAGACAAGTTTGTGAGATGTCACCATGGTTGTTCAATATATTTATAGAAGGGGTTGTAAAGAAAAGTGAATGCTCGGGTGTTGGCAAGAGGTGTGGGGTTAAGAGATACAGAATCACAGTTCTCTTTGTCACAGTTCTAACTTGATTTTTGGGCAGGAGACCTCTTGCTGTTTCAGGCAGAGTTCCAGATCTTCAGGCCCTTTACGTGCATTGCATTTTTGCATAGCGAGACAGACACAAGGGATGTCAAAAAGTGTTTTGTACCTCGTGCTATGCCTGTGTCTTCTGTAGGAGAGAGATTATTTCCCAGCAAAAGTAGGCCTTAGACAAGGATGTGCAATGTCACCATGGTTGTTCAATATATTTATAGATGGAGTTGTAAAAGAAGTGAATGCTCAGGTGTTGGCAAGAGGTGTGGGGTTAATAGATAAAGACTAACACAAAGTGGGAGATGTCTCAGTTGCTCTTTGCTGATAACACTATTCTTTTGGGAAATTCTGAAGAGAAGTTGCAAAGGTTGGTGGATGAGTTTGGTAGGGTATGTAAAAGTGAATACAGAAAAGAGTAAGGTGATGAGGATAACAAAAAAAAAAAAAAAAAAATAGGTAATGAAAGATTGGATATCGGATTGGAGGGAGAGAGAGTATGGAGGAGGTGAATGTATTCAGATACTTAGGAGTTTAAATGTCAGCAGATGGGTCTATGAAAGATGAGGCGAATCATAGAATTGACGAGGGAAAAAGACGAGTGGTGCATTGAGGAGTTTGTGGAGACAAAGAACTTTGTTCACGGAAGCAAGCAGGGGAATTTATGAGAGTATAGTTAGACCAATGCTCTTATATGATGGAAGCATGGGTGGTGAATGTTGCAACAAGAAGGCTAAAGGCAGTGGAGATGTCGTGTCCAAGGGCAATGTGTGGTGTGAATGTAATGCATAGACTTAAGTTTGGAAATTAGGAGGTGTGGGATTACCAAAACTATCATCCAGAGGGCTGAGGAGGGGTTGTTGAGGATGTTCGGACATGTGCAGAGGGTGAAACAAAATAGAAAGATTTCGAGAGTGCACAAATCTATAGTGGAGGGAAGGCGGGATAAAGGACGGCCTAGGAAAGGGTGGAGGGAGGGGGTAAAGGAGGTTTTGTGTGTGATGGGGTTGGACTTCCAGCAAGCATGTGTGAGCGTGTTAGAAGCAGATGGAGACAAATGGTTTTTAAGAATTGACGTACTATTGGAGTGTGAGCAAGGCAATATTTATGAAGGGATTCAGGGAAACTGCCAGGCTGGACTTGAGTCCTGGAGATGGGAAGTACAGTGTCTGCACTCTGAAGGAGGAATGTTAATGTTGCAGTTTTATAATTGTACTGTAAGCACGCCTCTGGCAAGACAGTGATGGAGTAAATGATGGTGAAGTTTTTCTTTTTTGGGCCACCCTGCCTTGGTGGGAAATGGTCGATGTGTTAATAAAAAAAATTACTGCAAAATGTAATCTTAAAAACAATGGCTTTATTGACTTGAGATAAAGTTGACACAGAACTTTAACTTTAAACTTAATGTATTCCAAGTGTCCATCTTAGGTTGCATGATAATAAAACCGAAGGATC